AACTGAGGAAAGGGGAGAAATCACAGTTTACTGGATGATACAATTACATAGGAAATATTTCAAGACAACAAAAATCAGATATCTTTACACATGTTAGCCATAAATAGTTTGAAAATGACATTAAGAAACCAGCTGTTAAGAGCCTTGGCCGCACTTGCAGAAGAATGTGGTTTGATTTTCAGCGCCCACATGGCAGACTACATGTTCATATCTCTAGTTCCAGGGGATCTGATGCCCTCTTCTGACTCCCCAGGCATCAGGCAAGCATATGATGCATAGACATACATGGGAGAAAACCCTCACACACATGAAATAGAATAAATTTGAATAATAAAAACACTAAGAAACTCAACAAAAGTCATCCATGGTTTGCACACTGAAGACCTTGCTGAGAGAAACTGAAGGAGATTTAAACAAAGGAGGAGTTGTATCCCATTTGTAGTTTGAAAAGTTCAGTTCTAAGCTGGGAAGCTGCTCTATAATACCATAACCTCAGGAAGTCCTTTATTGAATAGAATAAGAGCAAAGCCATTGTCCATGGAGTACTGAATCACAAAGGGAGACTTTACACCACACTCCCTTCTCTGCAAGGCTCTAAGACCATTTCAAAAGAAACTGGGGAGGGCCGGATTTTAAGAACCAGAGGTTGGAAAGGATCCAAGCAAAACAGTGTCTTCTGGACATGACAGGACAACTGCACACATGAATTCACAGCACCTGTGGTTGCCTGCACAGGATCTGCACAAGACCACCTCACTCAACATTCCAACATGAAAGAAAGGCTTGGGGTTACTGAGTCCCCATCCCTAACTGAGGAGCTATTGACAGCTGATGGCTTCTTCAGAGGAAGGGTCAGCCTTCTTCAAGGGTGTGGTCCTCAAGGTCTACCATGCTCTATAGTCGATGGCACTATACCCTGGCATATATGGGTATATGGGTGATACAAATTGTATTGGTGGGTTATTAAAAATTAGGGGGGCATGAATTTGGGATGAAGAGGGAAGGTCGAGTGAACCTGGGAAAAATTAGGGAGGACTAAGGGAGAAATTGAACCAAAACACATTACTGACACATATGAAATTCTAAGAATTTATAAAAACTTTATATTAAAAAGCCAATTCTAACATCTCTATTTATATGCAAATGCAAAGGACCTAGAATAATCAAAACTATTTTGTAAAGGAGAAAAATTTGGAGAATTCACAATGATTTCAAGATTTAACACAAAGCCACTGTAATCTAGTAAGTGTTGCATTAACATAAGAATAGACATGCAGACCAAGGGGAACTGAATGGTGGGTTTGGAAACAAACCTCTGATTCTCAGTGAGTTCATTTTCATCACAAGTGCCAGGGCTATTCAACGAGAAAGAATAGGTTTTGTTGTTTTCCCAGCAAATAGTGCTATAACAATTGTATATATGTGTGAAAAATGAAAATAAACTTAAGTCTGAAATATTACATAAACGTTAACTTTAATCTGGTTTAGATTTAAATATTGACACTAAAACTTCAGAATTTCTAGAAGAATACATAGGAAAAAGTTTGTAACTTTAGGTTAAGAAGAGACAAAGAATGAACCATGTTAAAAATGAACCTGATACATTTTACTTTACCCAGTCACACTCCCACAATCGTCTATGCTTCTACCCAAAAGGCACTAACGAGAAAATGGACAAAGAAGCCACAGATCTGAAGGAAGCACTTGCGAATCATCTATCAACTCAGAATTTGTATGTACAATGAACTTTGTAATCTAGGAGGACAAATAGATAGGGCATTGATCTAGCTGTGACAGAGACTTGTCCAGCCTGTATCAGGTCAAGGAAAGAAAAGATGATAAATAGTCCAATATATAATTGGGAAAATATTTAATGTATATGTTACTAAAGAAGTTTATGAATACTAATAGACATATGAAACCATGTAAAAAGATCAGAAGTATGTAAGTTAAAACCATGAAAAAGTATCAGGAAGTACACTCTCAATACAATGACTACACTTGGACTTAGTAAATCAAATGAGAGAAACAATGGGCAAAATCTAGGGCCTTCAGATATTGATACGGTGTATTTGCTGAGGGAATATAGAAGCTAGCCATTTTGGAAACTATCTAGACAATTTATGAACAGTTTAAATATATTTTTATATAATCCAGCAATACCATTTCTAGGTACTTATTCACCATAATAAGAACATCCAAATATTCATGAGAATATTATTTATAAATGCCCAAAGATAAAAACAACTCAAATAATCACCCACTGTGAGTACTGTGGTCCACCAGGCACTTTCCAAAAAGGTACTCCCATTGAAGGATGGCATTTGGGTACAAAGTAATAAATTAAGGGTCCATGCCATTGAGCAGTAAAGGCAGTAAGAGAAACAAATTTTTCATACATGTGTATCTGTTAGGTGATTCTCAATAGCATTATGCTAAATAAAACAAAATACTATATACTATACAGTGTTATTCATAAAAAGTTCCTGAAAGGTATAATGATTCAGAGAAGCAGATTAGTGGTTCCTCGAGGCTGAAGGTAGGAGAGGAGATGGGTGACAAACTGATCTGAGGGAACATGGGTAAGGGATGTTCTAGGAGGAATGGTGCTCATTGTGCAACTCTACCATGTTTGATGAACTTATGGAGTATATACTTGCTATTGACAAATAACAATATATACAAATACCCCATACTGTATATATTTAACAAGTTAAATATATCCTTCTAACCAAGACAGAGCAAAACATACACATGCATTATGTCATTCCATCTATATTAGAGTATATGTTTTATGTGTGTGCCACCAGACTATATACTTCCTATAGGTACATAGGAAAAAAGATTGAAAGTAGAGGTAGGACAGAAAATTAATTTCAATGTATGCTTTCTTAACTAGTTACTTTAAAAATTCAGCTACCCACACCATTGATTTATAAATAAAAATACTAACAATACAATCAGCCATGGTCCTGAAATAAAGGCCTATCCTTGAGGACCTTTGCTTATCTGAATGAGGCCATAAGCACTTCTGAGTAGCATATAACAAGATAATCAAAACGAGTATCACACAGACATAGTGTGGGCTGCTATTAAGTTCAGAGAAGAGTGAACACTGCAGGAATTCTAGGAGCCTCAATAGGTTGACAAGGACTTCCAGGTTCCACAGTGCCACACTCGTGAGAGAGGAAAGGCATGGCTTACCAAACAAACAAAATGTAGACCAAAGTCTTATCTGAGTGAGTGATCAGAGAGAGGGAGGGAAGGGAGGAGGGAGAGAGACAGAGTGAGTGATCAGAGAGAGGGAGGGAAGGGAGGAGGGAGAGCAAGACTGAGTGAGTGATCAGAGAGAGGGAGGGAGGGAGGAGGGAGAGAGATTGAGTGAGTGATCAGAGAGAGAGGAAAGGGAGGAGGGAGAGCAACTGAGTGAGTGATCAGAGAGAGGGAGGGAAGGGAGGAGGGAGAGCGAGGCTGCCCAGCTCAACACATGCATACACACACAATAATAAAATGTTTCCAGAAAGGCACAAATTACAGTAACAGCAAGGGTTTCAAAGCATTTTCCTGCTGTACCACAATTTAAAAGAAGCCATTTTATATAAAAAAAGAAACTGTGCTTAAATTTCTTTCTGTGAGACAAACAATGGCTACAATGCAGTGATTTTCTGCTATATCACTTAATATTAGAAATATTGTCCAAAAATTTGATTTTTCAATTGAACATTAGGAATATATGACTGTTTAAATTAGAAATATTTGCCTTAATCTTAAATAAGCAATTCAAGAGGTCAAAATACACCATCAACATTTAATTACCAAAATTCATGTGTCATTTTATAACAATGCCCTAAGGAGGCAAAATGTGTGAGTATTTTGTTGTCATATTAATTTTCCTTTGGTAATGGGAGCTTTGTATAGCGCTGCTCACAAGAGCACAGTGCTTGCTGAATCAATAATGTAACTTCTGCGAAGGGAAAGACACTGCAGAGAGCCCAGTTGGCTCACAAGCGCTACCTCTTTCAGCTCTGATGTCTTTTACCCGCAGTTTCCTGCAGGTTTTTCATGCATGGCTATGCCACAGCGCTGCCCCAGACCCCTCTCTGCTGAGGCTCCAGGTTTGGATTCAGCAGTCATACCGTGGAGTGCCCACCTCCTGTTACCAGCCTGTGAGATGGTATTGTAACCCTGCTGTGACAATCCCACAGCTGAGGATCTGGGGCTTCAAGCTCTGAGTCCTCTTTACCTCTAGGGAGGAAAGTCAGCTGTCACCCTGCACTTTGTCCTCACATCCACAGAGAAGTAAGGGAAGGGCCTTGGCTTTACCCCATTAGTTTTCTCAAAGACGAGAGAAGGGCCGTGGGGTCCGAAGCTCCCACCACTCTCTTCAGCTGTTGTCCATGTTCTTTGAGCTCCCAGTCCTGACTCGTCCCATCACCTTCTACCTGGTTCATGGCAGACACAGTTATCCGTGGTGGTGGCTAGTTGTGCCCCATTGTTGTGGAATATTCCTGCTCACACTTACCTTATTTTATCTGAACCCAGCGCCTGGTGGTCCTTATGAGGACTATCAGAACTCTTTCATTTGGAGGGGTGGGTTGACCTCCCCACTGCTAGCCTGGCACCCACATATAATACCTGCTATTGCAGGCTGCTCAGTAAATCAACAGGCATAGACCAAGTTGTGTAAAACTGACATGTCACTGAACCTTTGTGACAAGGACAAAACATATGCATAGCTGGGACCCATTCTTTACTCTCCAAATCCAGATTGCTGTGTTGGTAAGACGGAAGTACTACTATCACAGTGTTGAATGTAAGTCAGGTAAAGATACATTGCGAACATTCAGAAACCTGGATCCTAAATCCACATTCTTTTCTCTCTGCCTCTTTTAACTTTTTTTGCAAAGGCATGATGTTATGCTGTATAGAAATCGTCACTTGAGCAATAGAGAGTTCTAATCACCCCACACACCGGACCACCACACCCGTGTTTGTCTTACCTCCTCGATGGATGACTAAAGAAGTCTCGCTTCCCACGGGGCAGTCCTTAAGTATATCCACCACTTCTGTATGGCTCAGGTTCTGTACATTCTGCTGGTTGATCTCAACAATGAGGTCTCCTTCACACAGCCCAGGGCATCCCTGAATGTCAAGTATTTGTTTCACCCGCTGTCCCGTAGGACTGTCAGCAATAGTGAAGCCAAATCCCTGGGCACCTTTCACAATGGTTAAGGTCATAAGTTCAGCTTGAGTGGCTCCAGAAGAAGCCATAGACACATTGTCGTCATGGACGGGTGGTGGATACGTGCCATCGAGCTGACCATCAGCTGGCATGGAGTGCAAAGGATGAGGCGGTCGATCTGTAATGTCTGGAACTGACTGTGAGGTCCGGGAAATGTATTCCAAATATGTTTCATAGTTATGCCTTCCATTGACCATCACTGGAGGTGGCCTCTCCATTATTGCAAGGGGTGGCACCATGCTGTTAGCAGGATCTTCAGGATCAAAGGGCAACGGGTAGCCACGACACAACACCAAGTTGACGCTCTGACCAATAGGAACAGACTGGAAAAGTTTGACAACGTCTGCATGAGTGTGTCCAAGGACACAAACTTCGTTAATATAGACAATGACATCACCTGCAAGGAAAAAGGAGAGATTGACAACATGAGGTAAGTTCAATTAACGTTGACATAGAGAAATGGAATTATTTATGAGAACACTGAGAGAGTTCTCTGCTTCTCAGTAAGCAGTGAGAAATCAATTAGAATAATACTTTAGTTCTCTGTAGGTGACTCAAGGTTACAAAAGTCTGCCAACAAGTGAATGGCCAAATATTGAAAAAAGTGCTACTTGGTTATTCTTGAAGCCTGGAAACGGCTCCATATTTAAGCTCAGAAAAAAAAAGTTAGAAATTTGTACTTTGAAGAAGCATACGTTTCTGCCCCCCCTTCTTTTCATTTCCATTTCCATTTCCATTTTAGTGCAACTAAGATCAAAGAGTTTTCAAACTGTGGAGAAGTGATAGCCATGAGTTTTGGATGAAAACGAAAGCCCTGGCATTTGAAGGATTGGGTACCACCGTTCATCCTCTGGAAAGGTGTGATGAGAATGAAATGAGCTCATGAAGGAAAAGGCGTGGCATAGTGTCCGTACATTGTATTAGCACAGTAGCTGTGGGGGGAGGGGACTTGGGACCTGGCAGTCAGACAGAAGCTGTCATGGACTTATTCTCTTATCTTGGAAAAATTATTTTAGTAATGACACTTATTCCCTTTCCCAAATGAATTATCACAGTTTTATAGAGGTCTACTGGTTAGAAGCTAACTTTATGAACTTACAAATGCTATGAATACAAATTATTCATTATAAAATATAATCATTGAAATGAGTTCTCCTCCTTTAAATGCAAAAGACATGATTGTTTGAGGTAATTGTTTTAGATTTCTTAAATTATGTATGAATAAAACTTTATTTTTGGAGAATGGTTCTATCATGGATTGGTATTTTTATCCTCATAAACTATAATACTTGAAAATTTAACTTGCGAATTAAAATTGTGCCTGACAACGCTGGAGAGTATATGAGAGAAGGAAGGTATACTATTGTGAATAGTCCAAAGAATGACTCTATAGACATCCATTTATTTAGTAAGGTAGTTTTGAACTGAGTCATGTGAGTAGGAAGGGATTTCTTCCCGAGATAGCATTGTCTATCAATACTGAAACTCCAAAAACATGAAAAAATGTAAATACATTTTAGGTACATTATATAAAATATCTCTCCAATGCACTTGTAAGTGAATAATTCCATGAGCAAAAAATCTATCTATCTATCTATCTATCTATCTATCTATCTATCTATCTTTCATCTACCTATTATCCATCCCATCCATCCATCTATCCATCCATCCACCCCACTACCTTCATTCTGTGTGTTTAGGGATTGCCTGGTTTAGACAGAAAACTGAATTCCATGCCTATCATTTGCTAGGAATTTGGTTTAGCACAAGGATGTGATCAGATTCCCTCTAAAATGATGAAAAAACATAGTACCAACTTGGGAAATAACTAATAATGAGATCATATAGGTGATAAGGCTTGTGAGCTGCATGTTTTTATGCAAAAATGGTTGCTATCCTTCTAGTTATTATTTGTCCTTGGCAGTATCCTTCTGTAAAACTAGGATGGCCCAATTAAGAGATTCCCACCATAGTCCTAACCAATGATTATAGAAGTGATCATTTCTGAGTGGCCAACTAAAAGGTAGGAAGGTGACTGGTAACACTTTATTCCAAGGCTGTCAATAACTTTAATCACAGTACCAGTCTACAGTCACTTAATCTTTCTCTCTGCTCTTCTGGTCCTCTCCAGGAAAAAAAAGGACTGGATCTCTCCCGGTCTGCAGTGCTGTTGTATGATAATTGAACTACTTGTGGTAATTAGAAAGACTTCCTTCATACATAGCTCATGTGTAGTTTCTACTTAATAGTTTTCAAGTCATTAAAGAAGCAACTGATAAAGAATACTGTAGAATTCTGGGTAAAAACGGATTTCTGAATGTAAAAGATGAGACCTCAGTTATTTCAAAACTATCTAAGACCTTGACAACACCCAAATGTCTACTTTGTAAAATATATACATGTCTAGATAATGTGCCATATCAAAAACTGTTGTAGAGGGTGATATATGCAAACGTGCTTGTTTAGATGGAACGGATGAGGCAGGTTATTTATAGACTGTGCTGTAGGAATGTCATTTATATGTAGTGAAACAAAATATGAGCCACCTGGCATGTGTTATCCCATAGTGTTCCAAGCCAAGTTCTACGATAGACTGAATTAAGAGCACAGACAGGGGGACTTGCTCTAGCTACAACCTGCTTGCATGTTTAAGAGGGATAACTGTAAATGGGCCATTCAGTCTCTACACCTCCCAGTTTCTTCTTTCATAATCTGGAAATGACAGTGTTGTCTTCATGTTCACCTTTTCAATTCTACTGTGAAAATGAGATCTTGCCATGAAAACAGTTTTACCAAAGGGAGAGTCTCCACACAAATGTAAGGATGCATTTCGTTGGAAAGCTGAGCACATCTTTTCATTGCCTGGAAGGTGTGTTGATTCCTTGATTAGCCATTCACTTACAGCCCTATTTAAGACCAGCAATTCTAGGAATATTGACTTAAGGTCAGATTGCTGTGACTGATGAGTGTAGTGACTCTACCAGTATGGTCTTATGAAGACCTCATTTCCAATCATGGGTTTTCATGTACAGGAAAGGCAGAGTAAAGGTGATGGAAAAGAGGGGTTTAAAGCTACTATTATATATGAAAAAATGTTCTAAAATAATTTGGTTCTTTGTTAGTCATGGAGATAAATACATAGTACTGGGTATCTCTTGGGCACCTCATCATTTTGGGGAAAAAAGAGAGCTCACTTGACGAAGCATTGTTTAGCTTAAAGTTATTTTTGTAGGGCCCTCTACTCCTACATTCTTTGAGTCACCGTAGACTAAGAAATCTTCCTTCTTTGTGCCTCTCATGTTGCTCTCTGCTTCTCCAAAGTCCCTAGACCAAACTAGAATCATTGACTTTCTAATCAATGCTCTTCTTACAGTTTACTATATTAAGTTAAAACTACTTGATACCTGTGCCTATTGCTTACCACTCTTTACCTAGTCTTTTGACTTATTTGTCTTCTCCACCCAGCAAATCTCCACCTTGGGATGATGTGGCTACCTTTATTGTTCACAACTTCTACCTTGAAATCTCCTAGTCCTCTTTCCTCCATTTAATGGATAAATGTATCTCAACTTATTCATCTGTTCTTACCTCTTCAAATATGCTTTGTACTGTTTCCAATGAAGTTGATGGTGCCATATGCTTGTGACCTGCAAACCTCAGACATAGCTGTCTTATTGGTATTCTGCCTCTTCCAAGCTGTCTATACAATATACAAAGTATCGAATCAGCATTTTATTGGAAATTCTTTGCATATTAGGTAGATTCTCACTGAATAAAGGTTAGAAGTAGCTTGAGGAAACAGTACAAATATAACTGAACTCAACACCTTCTCACTAGTGTTTCTAAATTCTTTTTATGAAGTCAGAGTTTTTTGATAAAAGAAAAAAAATTCATCAATCATATCCACCCTACCAATTACATACACTTTGTAGCAAACAAGTTAATTCTTCCTCATAGGCAGTGAGATTTATTTAACATTATTTTCTGTAGCTTGCGTCATTTTAACCATATTAAAATATTATGACAGAATTTTATCATGTTCTGTGTCCATTTTCACTGGTTTTTATAATGGTCATAAACATCTAATTTTGGGGGTATACTTTTAAATTATTTGTCAATGTTCCTGTTAGATTTTAAGAAGAAGACAGTTTTCACTTCAGGAATGTAAGCACACTGTGGTTGGGGCAGAAGGCTCAGGTGGAGAGTGATCATGTGACCTGTGCAGTGATAGCAGCCGGTAGAACTTACATCATCCGTGATCTAGCAACTCAGCACACTATCACACCTGTCACAAAGAGGAAACGGCCAGGCCATAAACACTCAAGAAAATAAACTGATTAATGGCCATTTCTTTCTAACTTTTCCTGATGAATTTGTTATAAGGGTTCTGTCTTAGTTAAGATTACTATTTCTGTGAAAAATCAAAAAGACAGCAAAGCCTGCCTCTACAGTGACATACTTCCTTCAACAAGGCCACACCTACTTCAACAAGGACACACCTCCCAATAGTTCTACTCCCTATGAGCTTATGGGGACCAATTACATTCAAACCACCACATTCCATTCCCTGAGCCCCATAAGCATCTAAAAGTACCATAATGCAAAATGCATTTAGTACAACTTCAAAAGTCCTCATAGTCTATCACAATCTCAGCAACATGTCAAAGTTCAAAGTCTCTCTGAGGTTCATGCAATCCCTTTACTATAATCTCCTATAAAGTCAAAATCAAAAATAGATCACATACTTCCAACATACAATGGCACAGGACAGACATTATCATTTCAAATGTAGGAAGGAAGCATAGTAAGGACATACCGAACCAAAGCAAAACCAAAAACCATTTGAGCAAACTCCAAACTTTGCATCTCTATGTCTGATGTCAAAGCACTCTTCTAATCTCCAACTCTGTTCAGCTTTGTGATCTGCAACACACTTCTTTCTCTTGGGCTGGCTCTGTTCCCTGTTAGCTGCTCTCCTCAGCAGGACTCCCATGACTCTGCCATCTCTAGCATCTTGTGGTCTCCAAAGCAATCCATCTTCAACTTCACAGCTTCATGCAATGCCATCTCTACTAGGCCTCCACTCAGGAACACCCATGACACGGCATGACATCAGCAACTTTATTCCATATCTCCTTTCTTCTATCCTTTTCTCTAAACCCAGAGTCATGTGGCCAAAGTTGTCAAGGTCTGCTATGTGATGGAGCTGGAACATGGACCACCTCATTCAATTATATCTTCGACAGCTTTTTGTCCTTCACTGCTGTCCTGAAACTTGTTCTGTAGACCAGGCTGACCTCAAACCCAGACATCTGCCAGACTCTGCCTCCTGAGTACTGGGATTAAAGTCTTGCACCACCACACCTGGCTCTAAACTTTTCTTTAGTTTCTTTTCAC